GCGATAGAGGGCAGCCTTGTCTACATAGCTAGGTCCAGACCAGCCCTGCTGGGGCCATAGGGACACTCTGTCTTTAAAAGAGAGAGAGAGGGGGGAGAGAGAGAGAGAGAGAGAGAGAGAGAGAGAGAGAGAGAGAGAGAGAGAGAAGAGAGCCTACTGAGCATGCCCAGGCCCCTGATAGACCCACGGAAATCTTGTGGAGATTCCACTTCTCCGGGATTTATTCGTGATTGGGCGGGGGTACCTGACAGTGCCAGGAAAGGGCTAGGCAGCCAAAGAGAGGGATCAAGAGCCGAGGATCTGGTGATTAAGATTTGTGCATCTGGGTCTTCTGCTCGGAACACTTGAAAAGCTAGAGGCTCTTCGAGGAATTTGGGGGAAGACGGGACTCACACTCGCACCGCTGTCCTCCAAGACCCAGGGTGCCTGCCCCACCCCTTGCTGTAACCCTGGTCTGGGCTAGCATACCAAATCTTGGAGCTCTGCCTAGGCTGTGACAAAAAAGACGTTAGAGGGACCCACCAAGCTAACGCGCCAAATTAGAGACCAGACTCCTGCATCTGACAAGGTGCTTTCCCGGCAGCCTCTTCATCTCCAGCTTTCTGTTCTCTGCCTCCGCCGTGGGCATCCTAAGCCGAACCAAGTTGTCTACCTGTTTAACTCTTCCCTCCGTCTCCTCCTTTCTTTTGCCTCTGGTAAAACCTGGAGAAAGTGAAACGCAGCGCAAGACTCGCACTGTGTAACTGGGCATGCCCAGTAGGCATTTCTGATTCTGGTGAGAAGGGAGTTAACTCTAGCCGAGCTTGCAGATGAGGTGGGAGAGAAGTCTGCAGTCTGTGGCTTTAAATGATTCGTTAAACCGGATGGACATTTAAATTCTTTTCACCGTTATATTTCTACCCCAGGTTAGTTTTAGAGCAGAAATGCCAGATGTTTTTATTTCAACATCACAAACCTCAGCCTCGAATGCTGAAGTAAGACTTTTTTCTGCCTTTAGGCCCTATAAAGCAAGAATGTAAGACCTAGACAATTCAGGATCCCTGAGAATGTACATTTCAAATACAAGATTCATTTCCTTCCAAAGAAACCTGGATTTTTTCCTAAAATTTTGCCTGCTTACACTTTTGCTACTTTTTATAAAAGTCTGAGTAACCTAAAGGCAGAAACCGCTGGCTTACATATTTTTAGTGCCTTTAGAAAGGCAGTTTCGTCTAGTGGTGGAATGTGTGGGAAAACAGAATCAGATTGTCTGAGTGTGAATTCCATCTTTGACTTTACTGCCTGTGACCTTGGCACAACACAGTCATCTCTGTAAAATGGATCTAATTATGGACTCCATTTAATGTAAGGTAAAATGAGGAAATGAGCACAAAGTATTTGATTTGCATTTTAAGGCATTACTACCTATTTTGATTCATAACTCCAGCCCTGTTCATTCTCTTTTCTGTCTGACTCAGTGTCAGGTACTCTGTGAAAGCCAAGGTTCTAGGCTATCAAGTGGGATTACTGGTGCTGGCCATCCTATCCTGCAGGATTGCTTAACTATTCACAGGTTTTACAGATATAAATGAAATGTTAAATAAAGTTTAGCTAACTCTCAGAAAAGTAATTTATCTAAAGCCTTGATAGCATTAAGTAAAGAGAGGATAAAAAGTAATCTACTTAAATCAGGGCCTTTTTCAATTTTTCCTACCATTTACTGATAGGCTCTAGGGAGCAACTGGTACAAAAGGTATACCTAGATTAGATCGTGACTCCCTTAAGGTCTGTGAACACTCTTTAGTGAAAATTATCATGGTAGCAAAATATTTTTTAGGAGCATTCTGAAGAGTTAAAGGTATGCCTACCTACCTTGCATCTGGATTCTTAAGAAATTGCTATTTTCCCCAGTTTTTATGATCCAATTAATTATTAGTCTATTTCACTTTACTTTTCAAATTTTTTTGTCATTTTTTTATTCATTTATTTATTTTCTTGGTAATGGGGTTAGAAACCAGAATCTCACACATGCTAGGAAAGTGCTCTACCATAGAGCTGCAGCCCAGTCCTCTTTCTCACCTTTTCATTTTGAGACAGGGTTTCACTAAGTTGCTCCGGCTGGCCTTGAATTCATTCTACAGTCCAATCTGTAATGGAACTCACAATCGCCCTGCCTCAGGCTCCTGAGTAGCCATGATGTTAGACCTGTGCCATCAGGAGCCCATGCAAATTTTGATTTTGTCTTCAGTTTAGTTTCACAGTATTTCTACTAAGTCATGGTTCTCCTTAATCTCTTTTCTATGATTTCCTGAAAAAAATATTTCCTGATTTTAAAAATTAGCATTTTATGTATACATATTAAAATAAAATATTCAGTCCTCACATCCTCCTCAAATATACCCAGATTATATAAACCCAAATTCTCGATTATGTATAAAAATAAAGCTCCTTTGTAGTTATCATCTTTAAGTGGTTGTGAAGAAGTGTGGTGGTATATACTCCTAATCACAAGAGGCTGAGGCAGAAGTATTGCAAATTTCAGGGCAGCTTGGACAACTTAGCAAGACTCTGGCTCAAAATAAAATTTGAAAGGGTTGATGATGTAGCTCAATGATAGAGCACTTAGCAAACATGTACAAGGCCCTGGGTTGAACACAGTCCCAGTACCACACAAACATCTAAGTAACTTAGAGAGACACGGATTTCTCTTCTTATTCTTTTTTTCCTTCAGTAAATATGTAGAAGAGAAACTATTAACCTACACTAGAAATAGAAAAAAATTATAACATTATTTAGTGATAAACATCAATCGATCCTAAAGCCATATTTCTACTGTTTTTATATGTCATTGACCATGCATTTCTTCATCAGTAAATGAGGATGAAGTCACTCTGCTTTGTAGGATATAGAAGGATTTTGTAGTACTTGTTGATTGTGGGATTATTCTATGCCAAGCTATTGTTCTAAGTACTTAGATCTGTTTATTTAAAATTTGAATCAACTGTAACAGTTTAAGAGTTCTCTTCTTTCACCAATGACAAAAGTGAAGCATACAGATATTAACCAAGACAGTCACAGACACACATGTAATGAGGGGAGTCTAAATAAGACACAAATTTCAAGACTCTGTCTTCATCACTCAGCAAATGATCTAATGAGTATGGCACAGTGTTTGGCAGAATGCATTCTTTACTTTCTAAGAATTTCATATAAATATTGAAGAAGGTAAACAAATTGGGAATATCATAATGCAATTTTATTTTATTTATTGTTTTTACTTTATGAATCTATTGCCTGCATCTATGTCATGCAATACCTAAGGAGGTCAGAAGAGGGTATCAGATACCCTGGAACTGGAGTTGTGGATGGTTGTTAGCCACCATGTAGGTGCTGGGGTTTGAACCTGGGTCCTCTGCAAGAGCAGCCAGTGCTCTTAACCACTGAGCCATCTCCCCAGCTCCTCATATTTCTCTTATTGTAAGATGCTCTCATGCTGATATAATTTCTTTCATCTGAAAAAAGATGCAAGATCTGAATTTGAGGCAATTTAACATTGGTCAAAACAATTCAGTAGTTCTATAGAAGTTGGAACTAGGATTAATTTCTGCCACATCACCTTAGGAAATCTACCAATTTTAAGCTGCACTAATGTGTAAAAGATTGTCACTCCTGACCTATTCTGTTCAGAACAAATGAGGTAATTGTGAAATCAAGGTGGCTGTTTATGATTATGTCTGATTGAGAGAATTTCTGGCAACCCAAATATGGAATAATAAATAATATCTCATGGCACACACTGGTAAACACTTTACAACAATGCAAATGGAAATGCATGATCCCAAAATGAATACATTTCTATAAGTTATTAAATATTAACAGGCACAGTAAGTTGGAAATTCACTCCACACTAAAAATAAATGAAACTAAGTGATAAGATTTTTTGACTGAGAAATGAAGGCGACAGGGAGAAGCTGTGTTTATTGCTGCAATCATAGCTTGTGCTTTAACATTAGGAAATCAGTGTAAACACGCACTTTCTTAATTAGCATGAAGGCAAAGTGGAAGCTCTGAGAGATACCCATGAATGCAGGATGGATACCAATTTAGAAGGGGGCTTTACCTTTACCAAATGCATGATATAAAAAACATGAGTTGTAATTATGAGGGGACAAATTGGTTACTATACTTAAATTCATTTCACTTAACATGGGAACACAGTTTAAGAGAATTAAGTGAGATTCATTGCTCTACGGGGATTTTCTATTTCTGTGATGACATAATAAAAATAAAGTCACATTTTATTTATTTACATTTTGTACTTAGTTTCTAAGGAGGGGCCTTGGGCACATGTGCCACAGCCTGCCTTTAGAGATCACAGGACAATGTGGAGGAGTCTGCTCTTTCCCTATATTATGTGGATTTTGGAGATGGAACTTAGGTTGTCAGGCTTGGTGGCAAGTACCTTAACCTACTGAGCATCTCACGGGCCCTG